ACTGCTGGGATAGTCAATATGGACACCTACATTTCTATCCTATCTCCTTTCCAAATGATCCTAATGACTTTGGACCAGTCATTTCTCGTCCTAGAGCCTCTATTTTACCTTCTGTGACATTGGGAAAAGTAGGGCAGCTAGGTGGTGCTGCAATGGATAGAGTGCTGGGCCTGAAGTCAGGAAGACAGCTCTTAGTGAGTTCAAATCTAGCCTCAGACACTTTCTAGCTGTGTTACCTTGGGCAAGTCACTTCTTCTTGTTTACCCTCAGTTTCCCCATCAGTAAAACAAGCTGGAAAAGAAAATGGCAAATCAAGCCAGTATCTATTCCAAGAAAACTAAAATGGGGTCACATTGGGGAAGCAAAGTCATTGTATTCCAAGTGAGACATCCAAGAGAGACATGTCTCTCCAAATTTCTCTACCCTTCCAGTCATGCAGGTCTGTGCACCTTGGAGTCATCCTTGGCCCTTCCCTCCCCCTCACTGCTGAATATCTAATCAGTTACCAAGGCTTGTTGAGCCTATCTACACATCTTTTACATTCATTCATCTTCTTCTCTCTACCAGACCTTTATCATCTCTGACCCAGATGACCATAATAGCTTCTGAACTGGTCTCCCTACATCCAGTCTCTTCCTCTCCAGTTCATCTTCTCCTCAATTGCCTGACATCGTTCCAGTAGAGCACTCTGATCAGGCAATGTGTTGTACACTAGAGTTTGAGACCCACCTCTCTACCAGCTGTGTAGACATGGATAAGTGTCTCAACCTTTGAGAACCTTATTTTCTTCATTTAGAAAGTAGGGATATTAGCACTTTACTTGTACTATCCCTCTGACAGGGTTTGGGGGAGGAAAATACTTTGCAAATAGGAGCTGGATTTATTATGTCGCCCTTCTAAAAGTGGCTTCCCCTCATTCACTGAACAAACTATAAACTCCTGACTCTGGCATTCAAGCCCTCTGCATTCTGGCTCCCCACCCTATCAGGATGGTCAATTGGAATATTCTCCAGCCTCTCTTGTCATCTAGGTTTCTCCATCTTTGTGTCATTGTTCATGCCAGGCCCCATGCCTTCCATGGACTTCCCCGTCCCTGTCTTCAGCTGTTAGAGTGTCACTCTTTTCATTCAAAGCCTAGCTCAGGCATCACCTTCTCTGCAAAGTTTTCTGTACCTGACACCTCTAGATGAAGGTTACCTCACCCTCCTCATATTTCCCATCACACTGTGCCTTAATCCATCCTCACAATGTTCTTGTTCACTTGTGTATGTAACTCGAGTCCTGGGACTCAGGTTACATGTACATGTCTTTCCCCCATTAGATTCTGTTCGCGGAGATTAAGACCTGTGGCATATGTCTTTGTATATCCAGGACCCAGCCCTAGGCCTCCCATATGGTACAAATTTAATAAAAGTCTATTGAATTGAATTAGGGTTGAATCAAGTAGGGAGAAGAACCATTCCCAAGGCTGGGATAAGAACAAATGTGGTCAAAACAATATACACAATGACTACCACACTGTGAATGGAAAGGACAACCATGAAACAGTTGAAAATGAATGTTATGAAATTACAAAGAACAAGCTTGGGGCCAGAGAAGAGGGATGAGAAGGCACCTTCTTACTTCTCTGCAGAGGCTGGGGTGGGACATTCACAGTCTGGGAAAAGACATCAATTTCAGATGTTTCTGATATATTGATCAGTTTTGCTGACTTTCCCCCCTCTTCCTTTTTTTCCTTTCCTTTCCTTTTTAAATCTTCATTATAAGGGACAGCTCTCTGGGAGGGGAATCATTTTACAGAGCAGGAAACTGAGGCTCACAGAGATTGAAGTCACTTGCCCAAGGACATCCTAAATCTTGAGCTGGAAGGAAGCTCAGAGGTTACCTAGTCCGACTTAGCATTTTACAGGGGAAGAAACTGAGGCCATGGATGTGAAAGTACCTGACCAAGGTCAGACATAGGATCAGAGATTTAAAGATTTGAGGGACCCCCAAGGCCAAGTAGTCTAACTCCTGCCTGACCAAATCCCCTCTACAGTGGTACCAGCAAGTGGTCATCCAGCCTTTTCTTGAAGGGGAAGTGAACTAGAATCGGTGGAATGGTTGGTGTGAATCAGATCCAGATGAATGGTCCCTGTGGGTGCTTCCTCCTCCCTTTGAAGATCAAAATGACTGTTAAAGCAAGTCCCAAATGTGTTCAGTGCCCTGCTCTGGACAGAGAAAGGCTCCAGGAAACTTCAAGCTAATCCAAACCCTCTTCATCACTGCTCTAGCACAATAAACAACGTGGCTGCTGCTTCTTCCTCCTCTGATCCTCACCCCATGCCTACCCCATCCTGCTTCCTCTCCCTGTTTTCTGGATTTTCCCCAGATCCTATCTTCTTATTTTACAAGGCCGCTGTAACCTCCTCCTCCCAATTCAGTCCAGTTTCCCACTCCCTTATTACCGATTCTGTTCTTGGAGGTATATCACAGTTGTGGGTCTCATCTTCCCAGGTTCCTAGCAGTGATACCTAGAAAGCATTGCCTTACTTGCATTAGAGTCTCCAGGGCACCCGGTTCATTAGCTGCCCTATTCCCATTGGTGTGTGTACTTCTGAAGCCATATGAGTTTAATTTGTGCCTCTTTTTTTGGATGTTGTCTCTTATGGATTACTGGTCCTTTCTCTGGCTCTTATTGTACTAACTAGCTCCCTTGAAAGATTCATGTGAGCTTCCTCTCCCTCCCTTTTTTAAATTTGAAGTCCTCTTGCTTTGATTTGAAAGACTTCAGGAAAATATATTATTACCAGACCTTATACTCTTTGGCTAATTGCCTCCCAGCATCAGCACCCCAGGGACAAATGAGTTAGAGCTTTGGTTGCAGCCCATTTCTAGTGTTTCCCTTCTAGAGGCAGCTAGGTGGTGCGATGAAGCAAGTGCTGGGCCTGTAGTTAAAAAGATCTAAGTTCAGAACAGGCCTCAGGAACTTACTAGCTGTGTGACAGTGGGTGAATCATTAAAAAAACCCCCGACAACCTCTGTTTGCCTCAGTTTCCTCATTTGTAAAATGAGGATAATAACAACACCTACCTCCAGGATTGTTGTGAGGGTCAAATGAGACAATAATTGTTAAGTACCTGGCACATAGTAGGTGCTATATAAATGTTAGTTGATGATAGTGGTAGTGGTGCAGGGGATAGAGTTCTGGGTGTGGCATCAGGAAGGCCCGACTGCCCCAGGATTGAACCAAGTTGGATTGTGAGTCTTGATTCGGAGCAAATGGGTCCCTTTGTGAGAAGATAGTAGATGGGTTCCCCAGCCCTCTGGGCCCACCGACATATTTTTAGCATTAACCAAGACATGCCGTCTCTTACTTTTGCATACTTGGCACTGGCTGTGAACCATGCCTGGAAGACTCTCCTTCACCTCTGCCTCTTGAAACTTCAAGAGGCTTTTCTCGATTCCCCCAATTGTCAATATCCCATCTCCCAAATCACTTTAGATTTCTTTGGTATAGAGCCTGTGGATACTTCTCTGTGGAAATGTTATATCTCCCCAATAGATTGTGAGCTCCTTAAGGGCAGGGACTGTCTCAGGCTTGCTTTGTACCTCCAAGGCCTTGCAGTACCTGGCACAGAGAAGGCTCTTATGATATATTTGTTAGTTGATTGATTCTCTCCATTTGAAGGATTAGATTTTAGATGGAAATCCACAAGTACTTGTTTCTGAAAATGCTCTGCCTCAGATTCTTTAACTATTAAAAGAGAAAAATAATAGAAGATACCATGCAGGGTTGTTGAATGAATAATGAATGAATGAAAAAGCACATATTAAATACTTGCCATGTGCTAAGTGCTGAAGAAACAATATATAGAAAAGTCAGACCATCCTTGTGAGAGAAATCATTATTTCTCTCTTGTATTTAATAACTAATTATTGAATTAAGTCCAAGGTTTTTTTTTTCCCTTTTCCACTTTGTTATTCAGAAATCAGCCCTTATAGGTTACTCTGGTAGCCTTTGAAGTACAAGGCTGATAGTGAGAGGGAGAACTCAGATCTGTCCAAAAGGTAAAGTTCGGTGAATTGCTCCATTCTGGCCTATTGTGTCTTCTCAGACAGGTATGGGAAAATGTGGATTCTCTCTTTTGTGATATGAATATAGATAAGTCTCTTTTGACTAAAACTGAGTGATCAGAGTCACATACCCCAGACCCTCATTAGAATAGGGCCACTTCTCATTATAATATTTATTCTCTCATTAGTTGTTAACCAATCAGAGCTGATTTCCACCCTCAGGAGCACCAACTCTTCCAAGGGCATATGTGTTGAGTAGGTTCCATGAGGGGTCTTTTGATCTAAGAGAGACGGCCAAATGACCATCCTTTTATTAATAATACACTAACAACAACAACAATTAGCACCATTAATAAAATGATTAATTACCCAGAAACTATATCTCTTAAACTTTTTATATGTCATATCTTGTTAGGGATCTGTAAGACGTTGAGGGCCACAGGCTGTTCGTGAGACTTCACTGATGGGCGAAGGCCCCTCTTGGGTGTTAGTACATGAGCAGAATATCCTGGCTCGGTTCTCTGTCCACAGACCTGGCACTTCCCAGTCAGCAAAACTCTGACGCTAGGCAAGCTCATACTATAAAACAATGTTGCTAGCTCAAGCGCAGTCAGCTCTAGCACAAAGATATATCCAGTATTGCTAACTTATGTATCAAGTATTGCTAGTTCATGTATCAAGTATTGGGAACATTCCGGGAACGAGAAGTACATATTGTTTTATGGGAACAGCACGGGAGAAGGACACAGTCAGGATAATGTTGATAAGGACTTGTTGATACTTTGATTGGTATTCGCATGAGAAAAATTCTTGGTGTTGTCTGCTGGTAAAGATATGTAAACCTTGTTGCTTTGTTCACTGTTACATTGTGGTATGTTCCCATGAGTCAAAGATATAAAACACTGAAGGCAGGACCAGCGGGTTGTTGCTTGCCCGCTTGAGCTGATGGCTGAGTAAACCTTTTGAAACTACATCTCTCTGTCAACTCCACTCCTTCGTTATCCGGGGACGCCCGAAGACTGCAGGTGAGTATGACCCAGGCAGCCCTCCTCAAGTAACGAGGACATTACAATATCTGCTCTCAAGGAGCTCACATTGGTAAGGAAACACATGGAAGAGTTCAACTGCAGGTCAGAAAGATCCCACAGTCCTTAGGGTGCAGCAGCAAAGCAGATGATAATGACTCTTCTTTAATGTCATTTGCACACTTCTGATGGTGAACCATTTGGCAGTGCTATGATAGCACCACCATCTGACAGCATTCTCAGGTGCATACACTGTGGGTTAGCCTAGTCTTTTCCCTGAAAGGTGACAAAGCTGTGTAAGAGACTGGATTGCTCCAGGGCAGACCTGCACAAGTTGGCAGTAGGTAGGGGCCAAAATTAAAATAGGCTAAACTTCTTTGGGCCGCAGATAGGTTTTTAGAGACAGACTGATGATGGTTGGTCACCACGTGTCACATGACAAACTGGAGAGAGTACCACAGTGACAGCCCACCCTCCAAGTTACATGACAGGCACAATAGTGACTAGTGGAAGGCAGGTTAAGTGAGGCACAGATAAAACACTCATTACTTTACTTTCTTTTACATCCTCCACATTTTTTGTGGGCCACCCAATAATCCTTTAGCAGGCCGAATATTATGCAGGTCTGCTCCCTAGGGCTAAGGCTTAAGCTAAACCTCCTTTGATTGGCCAGCTTCCTGGTAACTAACCCAAGGGCATAAAAAGCTACCCTCCCCCCCACCCTCACCTTGGGGTCAGGGCTCTTCAGATTTGGCAGCGGTATAGTGATGGGAATCACCAAACCGGATTCTGCTGACCAGATAGACATGTGCATATGGAGGCAAGGGAGGCCCATACCTACTCAAACTAAGTGCTCTGACATCTCTGCCATCACTTTTCTATGCCATGGCTAAGTAACCCTCATTCTGTTAACCGTCAAATGACCTGGGCTTGCCTTAGTTTGCTCCAGTTGTCATTCAGTTGTTTCAGTTATGTCTGATTCTCTGTGACTCCATTGGGGGTTTCTTGGCAAAGATACTGGAGTGGTTTGCCATTTCCTTCTCCAGCTCGTTTTACAGATGAGGAAACTGAGGCAAACAGGGTGAAGTGACTTGCCTAAGGTCATATAGCTAGAAAGTGTTTGAGACCAGATCTGAATTCATGAAGATGAGTCTCCCTGATTCTAAGCCCTGGTTCTATCTACCAGGCAAACCTAGTTACCCCAGTACCAAACCCAAACTAGCAGAGGAGAAATCCAAGTCAGGCCCACCCATTACTAGTGGAGAGAACTTTCATTTCATCTTCAGTTACTGTTGCCAAGCCACATTGAGGGGGGCAGTGTGCCTTCTGGGATGATGGTCGTGAGATATGAGTGGCCTGGAAGTAGGACCAGTGATCTGGGAGTGCTACCACTCCTGGGGCTCTTGGGTTTACCTGTCCATCCATGGCAGTTGAGCAGCATCTGGTGTTGATGATGGAGAGGAAGGTGGACCCCTTCTCCACAGTGATTACCCCTCAATGATGGCTATAGGGTCTGGCTTAGAAGCAAGGCTCCTGCTCTAGGGAGCATGCCATTCTTAAGACTTGAGTTAGGCGTCCTAGACTATCCCCATCAAGGTCCAGATGGGCAAAGTGTTTGTGTATTAAGTACCTCCTATGTTCCTGGCCCTAGGCTGGGTGGTGGGAGTACAAGTACAAACAATGACTGAATCTACTCATAAGGAATTTACGTGCTAATAATGGAGACAACACATATGTAAGTTTATAAGCATAATATAAAGTTAATAAATACAAATATATGGGAAATAGTAGCTACAAGGTAGTTTGGGGAGGGAGAGCACTAACAATTGGGGAGAATTAGGAAGGGTTTCATGTGGAAGGTGGGGTTTTAGCTGAGCCTTGAAAGAGGAGAGAGATTCTGTGAGATGGAGGTGAGGAGTGAATGCTTTCCAGGCATGGGGGATGACCAGTGCAAAGGCAAAGAGATGGGGGATGATGTGCCATGTGTGAGGATTAAAGAGAAGGCTAGTTTGACTGGATCGCAGAATGCATAATGGAGTGTAATGCCCACTGGAAAGAAAGGTTGAGACCAGGTTATGAAGAGCATCAAAAGCTAAGCAGAAAAGTTTGTATTTTATGTAGTAGATGCAAAGCTAACATTTCAGTACTAGCTGGTAACAGAGCCCCAGTGCCCCACTTCTTGTGGACCCCAACAATTTCCTAAGGAAACTTTAAGCTTACTTTTTGTCCTGTTTAGTCACTCAGCTCACCAAATCCCAATGCTTTCATAGGTTGTAAAGATATTTTCCTTAAATATCTCTTAGAATGATTAGAATACAATGTTCAGTTGAGATCTACTGTCTAGGACTTTGTATGCATAATTCCAAATTGTTTTCCAGAATGGCTGTACTAATTCACAGTTCCACCAACAATGCAGTAGTCTACCCATCTTCCCACATACCCCCTGGTATTGACTATTCTCATTTTTTGTCATCTTTGCCAATTTGTAGGGTGTAAGTTGAAGTCTCAGGACTGTTTTGATTTGCATTTTTCTTATTATTTGTTTTTTTTTTTTTAGGCAATTGGGATTAAGTTTAGGTCACACAGCAGGTAAGTGTCAAGTATTTGGTCTGAGGCCAAATTTGAACTCAGATCCTCCTGACTTCAGGGTCGGTGCTTGTAGCCACTGTGCCACCTAGCTGCCCCTTATTCAGATCATTCTTCATGGGGCTGTTAATAGTTTTCAGTTTTTTAAAGATATGTTCATATCCTTTGACCACTTATCTATTGAGGAGTGGCTTTTGGTATATATATATATATATATATACGTGTGTGTGTGTGTGTATATATATATGTGTGTGTATGTGTGTGTATATATATATGTGTGTGTATATATGTATGTGTATATATATATATATATATGAGTGGCTTTTGGTATATATATGTGTGTTTGTATGTATATATATATGTGTGTATATATATATGTATGTATATATATGTATGTGTATATATATATATATATGAGTGGCTTTTGGTATATCTATCTATCTATCTATCTATCTATCTATCTATCTATATATATATATATATATATATATATGTAATGGGATATATGTATAAAACCAAAACCCACTTCCCAGTACACAAATGGTCAAAGGATACACACACACACACACACACACACACACACACACACACACACACATGCATAGTCTTATGTGTATGATCATATATATAGTTGTAGCTATAGATAAATTTGTATAGATATCTGTTATCTATATATTTGGGATGCCAAACCTTATGTGAGAAATTTGATACAAGAATTATTTACCCCTTCCCAACCACCTCCTTTCTTATCCTAGGTGTATTGATTTTGTTTGTGCAAAAGCTGTCTATTTTATCTTTTATAATTGCTTCTATTCCTTGTTTGGTTAAGAATACATCTCTTACCCATAGCTGTGAGAGGTATACGACCTATTTCTCTTCTAAGTTTTTTTTAATAGCATGTTCTTTAATATGAAGGTCACATATGCAATTTGAACCTACTGTGAAAGACTATGTCTTAATTATCTTGCATCTCAGTGTCTTAACACCTGGCCAAGTGCACAGCAGGGACTAAAATGTTTCAGGGATTGAATTGCCTTTCTCCTTTCCCCATAGCAACTGGAAGCCAAGCACAAATTTCATATATTACAAGCCCTGGAGACTGTTATCACCTCAGGCCCTTTCCTCAGTGCACATTGGCTCCAAACCTTCACCAGATTGGCCCTGAAGCACGTGATTCAGGTTACGGTAAGCCCTAAGTAGAACAGCCCTCTGCTTCCAGGGACAGATCTCATGATGGTACTCATAGTTATTATAGGATACCCCCGAGCCTATATATATCCTCAGAGCCTCAGGTTACCTAAGGATGTGAGACAGTTGGGTGAAGATGTCAGTGGAAGAAATAAGGAAGTGGGATGATTGGTTTCTGATTTCAGCTAGGGAAAGAATGACATGAAATACAGACATACCTTGCAGCTATTGAGGGTTTGGTTCCAGACCACTGCAATAATGCAAATATCACAGTAAAGCAAGTCACACGAATTTTTTGGTTTTCCAGTATACATAAAAGTTATGTTCACACTATACTGTAGTATCCAATAGTATTATGGCTAAAAAAACACACATACCCTAATTAAAAATACTTTATTGCTAAAAAAAAAATACTAACCATCATCTGAACCTTCAGCGAGTCATAATCTTTTTTCTGGTGGAGGGTCTTGCCTCAGCGTTAATGGCTGCTGACTGATCAGGGCAGTGGTTGCTGAAGGTTGGGGCAGCTGTGGCAATTTCTTAAAATAAGGCAACAATGAAGTTTGACACATCGACTGAGTCTTCCTTTCATTTGATCTCTTAGAGGCCATTGTAGGGGCATTAGCTGGCCTAATTTCAATATTGTTGTGTCTCAGGGAGTAGGGAGGCCTGAGGAGGGGGGGAGCGGTAGGTGGGTGAAACAGTCAGAACACATATAACATTTACCTACTAATTTCACCATCTTATATGGGCATGGTTCATGGTACCCTAAAACAATTATAATAGTAACCTCAAAGATCACTGATCATACTGATCACCATAACAGACATAATAATAATGAAAAATTTTCAAATATTATGAGAATTACCAAAATGTGACAGAGAGACACAATGTGAGCACATGGTATCTGAAAAAAAATGGCACTGATAGACTTGCTTGATGTAGGGTTGCCACAAACCTTCAATTTGTAAAACAAAACAAAATAAAACAAAATATCTGTGAAGCATAATAAATTGAAGCACAATAAAATGAGGTATGCCCGTGGTTTATTTTGTCAGGGTTCTGTAACCTCTGACCACTGAGACTCAGGACCTTTTGAAAAAAAATCATCCCTGTCCAGCCCTTTGGTATAGTCTGCACCCAAGACTTCAGGCAGCTCAAAGTATAGCCCACTGCAGAAGGATGTTCCCAGAGACACTTATATAATAGAGCAACACAAATATGGACATACAGGAATAGCTATACTCTGCTACTCAGTTCTTCTTCCTTATAACACCTTCAGCCTTACTTCACTGGAATAATGACCAATTTAGAGAACACGAGCCTTCATAGTTTCAGGGTTCTTCCAGAAGGAACCTGCCAGCACCTTGACCTTTTCTTGTCCTGTGACATCCCAGTCTAGGTCAAAAACTTGAATTTAAAAGACCGATTCTCACTGTTGTAAACAAAGTCCCCTGAACTGCCAGGCTCATTCTGAGGAGATGATGCATTTCACCTCCTGTCGCAAGGTTTTCTGGATTCAAGACCCACCCACCAAAGTCAGGTAGGGTCTTGGGAATGGTTGAAGCCTTGGTTCCTTGAGCCACAGTAAAGAAAACCATTTATCTGAGTGTCAATTGAGGCAGTGGTTTATGCTGCCTGAGCCTAAACACATGGAGGCCATTGACTCCCCCCTCCCCCAAACTACCTGGACTAAGTGATACCTTGCCTGTAAGGTCATCTGGTCATTGCTTGAAAAATTCCATAATCTCAGAGTCGGAAGAGACCTCAGAGTCCTTCTGGTCTAACTCATACCTGAACAAGAATGCCCTCTACAATAGACCTTGCAAGTAGACATCAAGCTTGTTCTTGAAGATGTCCAGGGAGGGAGAAACCGTTACCTCTCAAGGCAACCCATTCCACTTCAGATAGCAATCATTCTGTGGCCTAGCATAATGTCTGGCACATAGTAGGCTCTGATTCTCTTCCCTTAATGAATATTTGTTGTTTGTCTTGACATTGAGCCTAAATCTATCTCCTTGGAGGTGTAAGAGCTAAGTTGCTCCCAGTTCTGCCCCTTGGGGCCAAGCAGAACACAGCTAATCCTTTTGTGTGACAGTCTTTCAAATACTTGAAGACAGAGATCATGGCCTCCCTAAGTCTTTAGTTCTCTAGCCTCCACATCCCTAGTTTCATTGGTCCTGCCTAAGCCTTCTTTTCTTCAAAGAAGAGAACATCCTCAGTTCCTTTCTAAGACAGCTGTCATGTTGCCCTTAAGGCTTCAGTTCTTTAACTGACCAGTTCCTTTGACTGACCTTGATTGTCATCCACTGGGTCAGCTGCCTCTCCCAACTTTGTGTCAGTCGTCACATTTGACAAGCGTACCATCTATGCCCTTGTTCAAGTTATTGATAAAAATGTTGAACAGCACAGGTTTCAGCATAAATCCTTGACCACCCTACTATAGTCCTCTCTCCATGATGATATCAGACCATTAGTGGGGACTCTTTGAATTCAATCCATTCAGAATCCAGCTAACTATATGTAGGATTGTCCAGCCCATGTCTTTCCATATGGTTTACAAGGATCATATGAAGGACTTTGTCAAAAAGCTTTGGTAAAATCTAGGAAAATTACAGAGATTGCATTCTCCTGGCCTTGCCTTGTGTGATTTGATCTTGTTGAAACCATTTAGGCATTTTGTGAGCACTGCATCTAGTATTTTGTCAGGAATCAAAGTCAAATTCACTCCACTCCCTTCCCTTTTTGGAAAACCAAGAAGGCATTTTCCCGTCTCCATTTCTGTGGCACCCTTTCCATTCTCCATGATCTTTTGAAGACCTCATTCCTTTGAGTATGTGGGAATGGCATTCACCTGGGCTGAGGGACTTGACTTAGATAATGAAGGCTGAGTATTCTCTTGCTATCTCCTTACTCGGGAATGATTTCTTACCCCAGGCTCCACCTTCAGTCACGATGACTCATTTGGGAGAAGTGTCTCATCCAGGGGGACCCACTGCACACAAGTATTTCTTAAGGGCCTCCTATATTGCCAGGCAGTATTCTGGGTTCTGGGGACACAAAGGCAATGGATAAAATGACCACAGCTCACAAGGAGCTTATATTCTAATGGGGGAGACAGCAATGACATATTTATAAACATATAGAATACATATACAGTGAATAAATGCAAATCTGTACCAAGAAGTTAAATCCAGGTTGTTTGGGAGAAAGGCCACCAGCAGCTGGGGGAGTGGGGGGACTCATGGAAGGCTTCACATAGATAGCTCAGCTTCATCTCAAAGGAAGAAAAGTACTTTATGAGAATGAAGTGTGGAGAAGGAAGTACATCTGGGTCGAGGGCACAAGCAATTGAAAGGCACAGAGACTGGAGATGGAGGGAGAAGCTATTCACAGAATTTGAGAGGGAGAGTAATGTCCAATGAGGCTGGAGAGATAGATTGGGGCCAGGTTGTGAAGGGCTTCAGAAGCTAAATAGAGGAATTTATGTTTTATCCTAGAGCCAATTAGAAGCCCCTAAGTTTATTAAGAAGAGGAATGACATGATCAGATCTATACTTAAAGAAAATCACTTTGGCAGCAGTGTGGAGGATGGACAGGAGTAAGGAGAGATTTGAGATAGGAAGGCCAGTTGTTGTTGTTCAGTCATGTCTGCCTCTCCCTGACCCCATTTGGTGTTTTCTTGGCGAAGATACTGGAGTAATTTGCCATTTCCTTCTCCAGCTCATTTTACAGATGAGGAAGCTGAGGCAAACAGGGTTAAGTGACTTGCCCAGGGTCACACAGCTTGGAAGTGTCTGAGGCCAGATTTGAACTCATGAACATGAATCTTTCTGACCCCAGGCCTGGTACTCTATCCAATGCAGCACCACATAGCTGTCTAAGAAGGCCAATTAGGATGTTGCAATAGTCTAGGTGAAAGGCAATGAAGGCTGAATTAGGGTGATAGCTATATGGGTGAAGATAAAGGGGCCTGGTGGGGGAGATATTGTGGAGACAGAAGCAGCAACATTTGACAACTGATTGGATATGTAGGATGAGGGAAAATGAGGAGTTGAAGATACACCAAGGTTATGAGCCAGAGAGACCTGAAATGCTGCTGCCTTTGGCAGAAATAGGAGAGTCTGGAAGAAGAGCAGGCTTGGGAAGAAAGATACCAAGTTCTGTTTTGGACATGTTGAGTTTAAGCTACCTCCGAAACATGCAGTTTGAAATGTCCCACAGGCAATTGGCAATACGGGATTGAAGCTGAGGGGAGACACTGAGACTGGACACATAGATCTAGGAGTCATTGGCATAGAGATGATAGTTAAGCCCATGGCAGCTGATAAAATCACTGAGAGAGTTTAGAGAGAGAAGACGACCTTGGACAGAACCTTAGGGAGCACCCATGATGAAGGGCTGTTATTTGTATGATAAATTTGGAAAGGGGACTGTGAAGGAGCAGTTAGGTAGGAGGAGGAGAACCGGGAGAGAGGACTATCCAGGTCAAATGAAGTAGAGAGATCAAGAGGGATGAGGGCTGGAGAACACCATTAGATGTGGCCATTAAGAGATAGGGATGAAGGATGCCATCTGCCTCCTGATGGAGAGGTGATGGATTCAGGGTGTAGAATGAGGCAGGTTTTTCTGGGCACAGCCAATGTGGGAATTTGTTTTGCTTGAATGTATATTTGTTATAAGGGTTTAGTTTTGGTTTTTCTTTTTTTTTTTAATATTGGCAGAAAGTGGGAGGGAAATAAAGTAGATTTTTGTTCATTGGAAAAGTTTAAAAAAAATTATAGATTTTGGGCTTGAAGGGACCTTAAAAGGACACTGAGTTCAACCCACTTATTTTACAGTTGAGGAAACGGAGGTGTACTTTCTGAGCAACTTAAGTTAAATGACTTGACCAAAGTCACATAGTAAATGAGATAGGATTTGAACCTAGGTCTTCTCATGTCTCTTCGTGTAGTGCCTTAAAGACTATGCCACACTGCTTCTCCAGCTGATTTGTAACTTCAGAAAGAGCAGTCAAGTGATGAGACCGAAAGTCAGATTGCAAAGTATTGAAGAGTAAGAGGAGGGAAAATGGTTGCAGTGAGGGTAGACAGCTTTTTCTAGGAGTTTGGCTGAGAAAGACAGATTAGATACACAGACAGATAGAGCATTTAGTAAGCACTTACTACAAATCAGGAAGCTAGAGAGGGGCAACGAGCCTGGCAAGGAGGTAGACCGTGTAGAGGGTGAGTTGAGCTGGGAGTGAAGCATGAGAGCAGCATGGCCTGGGCCTCACAAGAAATGGTGATCCCAGCCAAGAACTGGAGAGCAGGCCTCAAGGCATAGTCATACTCTGGGCAACACCAGGAAGCTGGAAAGGGAGGAGAGAGATTGGGCAATAGCTTCAAGGGATAGTAGGAATTAATGAAGGTTCTTTAAGGATGGTGTGACATATAAAATGTTTGAGAGATGTAGTTTCTGGGTAATTAATCATTTTACTAATTATGCTAGTGGATAATTAATGAAAGGGGTCATTGGCACCCTCAAATGCCAGAGACCCCTCATGGAACCCACTCAACACTTATATGCCTTTGGAAGAGTAGGTGTTCCTGTGGGTGGCAATCAACTCTGATTGGTTGACAATTAATGAGAAGAATGACTATTATAATGAGAGGTGGATCCAATTCTAATGAGGGGCTTGGGGACATGACTTTGATCATTCTACTCCCAGACCACCCCCAGCCTGGGCAATCTAGACAAGGATCTACCTCCCACCCTAGCCTGAGTAGAACACAGTGGGCTTCCCCACTTGGGTGGGGTCTGAACAAGATTGAGGAGAGTTAATTCAATCTCATTATCAGCAGTGTCCTTGGATGCTGAGTTGACCCAGTAGAGAATGAGGGGATAGGAAGGGAAAAAACCCTGGGATCTCCCCAATAATTGGTTATTTAACGATCATTTCTCTCAATGGGGAAGTCTTGGGAATGGTTGAAGGCTATAGAGAAGGAAGCACTAGATATGGAGAGGTTGAAGATTCTAGAGAGAGAGAAGATAATTAAGGATACAATCTGCTGAAGAAGATGGGAGGGGATGGGAGTACCTAGGTACTGAGGTTAGGCTTTAGGGCATGGGGGAAAGGAGGAATGAGTGGGAGATGCTGTCAAGGAGTTTTTAGATGAAAAGAAAGGGAAAAGAGGGAGCTCACATTGAATGGCTTTAATTTTTTCTTAGAAAAGTTGGCAATCTAACTCCCTGAAGTCCTGGCATTGCTTAGGGCTTGAACCCTACCTCTCTGTACTGGTCACTAATCCAGGTAAATTCTCCTTCCAGTGTTACCAATGAAGGTAACTTTGCCATACCCCCAGCATTTCTGCCCCTGCCTTTGACAGGTCTCTTCCCAATAGGTGGTTGCTGTCTATACCTGACTCAGGGGCGCACACTGCAGCCATCAGAGCTGAGGGAGCCTAAGATGGCTATACCCTGGGAGACTGTAGCATCTGCCTGCCTTCCTCTTTCCTAGTCCAGGCTACTCTGCCTTCCTTAAGTTGTGGTACCCCACCCTCAGCAACTTCAAGTACCACTCCCTGATCTTCTAGTGGCTTTATCTCTACCTTCATTTGTAGGCCTTGCTAAACATCCAGTCCAATTCTTGTAGGAGGCTCTGTGTCTATGGGGGTATGTGACAGAGAGAGAGCCTTACACACATGGCAGTGGAAAGGCCAGCTTACCAAGAGGGCTCAGACAATGTAAAGCTAGAGGCCCATGGCCAACAGCACTAAAGAGTCTTCCTTGCCATAAAGTATGCTAAAATATATGAGGGGCAGAGCTGGATTTGGACCTGGGTCGCCAAGGGCTCCTGGGCCCCACTTCCTACAATCTGTGCTGCTTTGTGTATGTAAGTGTCTGCCCTCAGGGATGGGATGTTCCCATCTCAGGAAATGGAAAGCTTCTGGAAGGCTTTGTACAGATGGTTTAACTTTTTCTTAGCCTGAAGATATGTTTATTTCAAGGCAGAGATATTGAATGAAATGGGATAGTAAGAAAATTTGCAATAAGACATTCTTCCCATAAATGTGAGGCATGTTCTCCCACAAATACACATATTCTCAGTGGGAAAAGATTACATATGAGGAGCCTACACATATGTGTGCTTATTTTTCAGAGCACCAGGGCCACCCCAAATGCCCCCAGGCTGCATTGACAAGGCTGGTGCAAGTATGGGCTGGTGAGAGCTTCAGTGCCCTCATCTCCACAGGAGATATAGCTGGGGAAGAGGAAGTGGAAGAGGAGGAAGAGGAGGACAAGGAGGAGGCAGAGGAGGAGGAAGAAGAAGAAGATGAGGAGGAAGAAAGAGGAGGAGAAGGAGAAAGAGGAAGAGGCGGTGGAGGAGGAAGAGGAAATACATGTGCAGGGGCAGTTCCCACCTCCACGCCTGCAGCATCCATCCCCCTATCTTCTAGTGATCCCATCTCATGGCTCTCTCTGGGCCTGCTCCTCACTGGACATTGCTCTGCTGGCCTCCCTAGGCCTGTTGGCCTGCCTGAGCCTTTTGGGCTTTGCTAGCCTCCCCAGGCTTCACTGATATTACTTTATTAGTCTCAGCATCTCTGCTGGACATTGCTCCCTACTACCCTCTTCTGGGCTCATCTCTTCAGGGCCAGCAAAATCATATCAACTTTAGGTCAAGCTGACAGATCCTGCCTATACCCAGTTAACAAAAGTTAGCTAGAGCTCCCCCAGGATAAGATTAGGTCTTTCCTTTTTGACCCTTCCATCTCCCTAAATATCAAATCTTTATATTACAAATAAATTATATAACTCAGTGTTCCAATACTCTTAATCTTCCCAAGATCCTCTCTGGCTTAGCTGCAAATGGATTTGAACAAAAAAAAAAAGAGTTTGGTGAGGGAGGTGAGGTCAGTGTTTCCCACCTATGGAACCCCAACTCCTGTCTTTCTTATGAGTATCTATCAGCTACAAAGCCTAGGGGGCTTTGGAGCTGTGTTTTGGTCTGTGAAAGTCTCAGTCTCCTGACAACATCACGCCATCAAAGGCTTTTGTAATCGGGAGACACATGACATAGTGATCATGGAGTCCAACCCATACCCCAAATGACTTGCCATTTGAGCATACCTGCTCAGTGGCCATCTGGCTCCAATGAGGCAGAAGCCATCACCTGACACAGCCTAGTACCTTTTGGACAGCTCTTATCAAGGACATTTTTCCTGACATCAAACTTTATCTTGACCCTTCATAATTTCCACCCATCACTCCTAATTCTTCCCTTTGGAGCTATGCAGAAGAAGCCAAATCCCTCTTCAGCATGACATTACTTCAAATACTTGAACAAAGTCACCTCCTGAATCTTCCCTTCTCCAGCCTAAACATCCCCAGTTCTTTGAGCTGATCCTCCCATGACACAGCCCAAGGCCCTTCCCCATCCTGGCTGCCTCCCTCTGGATGCTCTTCCAGTATTTCAAAATGGGGGTACCCACAGATAATCATGCTACTCTAGATATGGCTTGACAGGTATGCCTCTTTAAATGCAGCCCTAGAGGGCATTAGCATTTCTCTCTGCCACATCAAACCCATGACTTCTGTTGAGTTTACTTACACAAAAGCCCACAGATAATTTTTAGACAACCTGTTATCTTCCCATGGCTCCCTCTCTTCCCTGTACTTGTGAAGGTGATTTTTGAACAAATGCCCCGAATTTAAGCAACAAGTAAGGGAAGAGTCTCTCTCTAATGCCAGGAGGCAGATTCACCCTCATGGGTATGCCTGAGACTTGGCAGGAGGAAACCCATGCCTGAAATATGGCTCTGGTTGTGCACACCTCATCCAAAAGGAATAGGATCATTAAAAGGGGGTAATAATATTGTATGTTAATTATGCACCTACAATGTGCTAGGAATTGTGCTAAATAAATGCTGGGAACATCAGCATACATTGTTGTCCAACTCTTCATGACCCCATTTGGGGTTTTCTTTGCAAAGATACTGGAGTAATTTGCCATTTCCTTCTCCAGCTCATTTTACAGATGAGCAAACTGAGGTAAATAGGGTGAAGTGACTGCAAAGGGTCACACCACTAGTAAGTGTCTAAGGCCAGATTTGAACTCAGGAAGATGAGTCTTCCTGACTCAAGGTCCAGGGCTCTATACACTGAACCATCTCACCACCCATAGATATGCATAGCCTGTAAACCTAGTCATCCTCTGAACTCTTGAAAACTGCTTTCCCCAAATCTAGGCTGCATGGCAGATGGGCCTGGCTTTTTTTTCTTCTTTCTCACAAACTCCAAAAGCCAGCATTTACTCCCCCCTCCCCAAGGTTCCCATCATTTCCACCCCAGCAACCAGTTCTTAATGTTTTAATGAGAATCAGATTAAGACTAGAATTTTCCCCTGTTGGTTTCTCCACCTTTTGAAGCATGAACTGATCATTAAGGCAAGTCAGAAAGTTACTAGCAACCCTGCTTTGGGCAGAAGGAGGGAGCTCCTGCTGAGGTCTCCTAATTGAAATACCCATCCCTGTATCATGCCTTTCTGCCAAGTGTGTGATCTGCTTTATGAATTTCTCATCTGTTCCTTCTTCCTGTCCATGATTTTCTCACATGAGTATGCCATTTTCTTTTTTTGCTTTTAAACTTGTTTATTCTTTTTAAAAACCACATTTTATTGATGCCTTTTGTCTTTTATTCATTTCCCATCCCTCCCCCTTCTAATTGAGCCTTCCCTTGTGACAAAGAAGAATAATTAAGCAAAACCATCTGATATAGAATCCCTTTCTGACATGCATTCACAATTTAATCACTTTTGTCCTGTATCTCCTAGTCTGGAGGGAGGAGGGAGGTTTCATTATCCCTTCTATGGAGTCTTTAGTCCTCATTGTTTTTGTTTGTTGGGTTGTTTTCATTTTAAGACCTTTTTTAAAAATTCTGAACTTAAATACCCAAAATGAACATTTCTGTACGCACAGCAGAACACAGATTCAATATGAAACTGTGAATCTCCAGTTTATGATGCTTGGTGTTTTTTTTTTTTTAATGCATAGTAATTCCACATATTGCTTTCAAAATAGTCCCTCTTATCTGCTGCTTCTGAGTTTTCTTCATTTCTTTTCTGTGCATTAAAACAAATCAAACAAACGTTTCAATGGCCCTCTTTTTTTGGGCATCATTATTGCTAAATGCTCCTCTTTCTCCCCAATACCCTCCGTCAATTAAAAACCAAGAGAAAGAAAACAACAAAACATAGTTAAGCAAAACAAACCCACCCAATGGCTGTGTCCAAAAATGTGTGTGTCTCTTTTCCCTTGAGTCTCTACCATTCTGTCAGGAGATGGGGAGGTGGGTAACATACCACATCATGGACCCTTTAGGATCCATGTTTTGATCAGAGTTCTGAAGTCCCTTGAGGTTGGTTTTCTCATTGTTGTCTTTGCCTCAATTGTTCTGTTATTTCTCAGTTCACTCTGCTGATGTAGAGTAACTGTTCATGAAGCCTAAGATTCTTTCATATTGTCTCTTTCATAATTTCTTACAGCATAATAATATTCCATTGCATTTGTAATTTGCAATTTGCTCAACCATTCCCCAATTGATAGGCAATCCCTTCTAGTTCTTTACTTTTTGTTATTCCCTTTTAATCTTCCATTTGGAATCAGGAAGTTTGTCCCTCCCCTGTATTAGCCTCATCTTTTTTATTTTATTTTATTTTATTTTATTTTATTTTATTTTATTTTATTTTATTTTATTTTATTTGTTAGGCAATTGGGGTTAAGTGACTTGCCCAGGGTCACACAGCTAGTAAGTGTCATGTGTTTGGTCTGAGGTCAGATTTGAACTCAGGTCCTCCTGACTTCAGGGTCGGTGCTCTATCCACTGTGCCACCTAGCTGCCCCCTATTAGCCTCCATCTTAACACCCTGTCCCTTCTCTATCATTGTTTGTTTCCTTATTGAATTTAATATATTTCTGCACCAGACTATGTGTGCATGTGTTCAATCCACTTTCGTCCCTTCCTTTGTGTTGGTATAGTCTTCTCATATTCCTCAATTATGAGAAATAGCAAGGTCCATCCCTTGGTTCCTTCTTTCCATACTAGTGTATTTCTCCTTTTATCCTCCTTTCTCTTTCCCTTCTTCAGACTCTCAGAACAGAGCCAACACACTCTAAATCCTTAATTTTTTTTTTTAACTCTCTCAATACCCTTTGAAGACATTAAGGTTCTAAAGGGATTCTTGTTTCTTCTCCCACATTAAGATGTTGTCACTACATCATGATAGTCCCTTCCAATTGTTCATATTGTTTTAGGTTTCTCTGGACTCTTGTGTTTGAATTTCAAAATTCCTATTCAGTTCTGGTGTTTTTATCAGGAAGGCTTGGAAGGCCTCTTCCATTAAAGATCCATTTTCCCCCTTGAAAGATTATACTCCACTTGGCAGGGTAAATTAATCTTTGTTGTAAGCCAATAGTGTTTATCTTTTGGAATGTTGTATTCCAAGCTCTCCACTCATTTTTAGTTGAAGCTGTCAGGTTTTTTGTGATCCTGACTGAAGTTCCTTATGTAATAAGGTTTGCTCTGCTCTTACTCTTTGAGGACCAAGTAAGCTACATTTATTCCTCAAGGCTCCCAGGTACCCTAAGAGGTTGGCGAGGAGTAGTTTCTTTCTTTAGTACCATCATTGGTTCAAGCCTTCCATCAGCTGTGTTGTTCCTATTTTAGGGGTCCACATTTCTCTTTGACCACTTAGCATCAGATTAGCTTCTACAAAGGAAGATTTACTCTATATGAACATTTTCCCTAGTACCCTGGGGACATAATCTTCCTATACCATCATGGCCTCAGGGTTGGGGGTAGGAATGCTGTGGGGAATTTGGCTTAATTTAGCTCCATTCTTTGTAGCACCGATCCAACTAAGTTTACATACAAAAGTGACATTGTTGCTGGTTTTTGCTGGGCTAGAGTCCCAAAAGTCACTCTAGATCAGGCCTGCACAACATACAGCAGCCTGCCAAAGGATTTTTTTTTAGGGGGGTGCCACAAAAAATGTAGAGGAAGTAAAAGAAAGTAAAGATGTAATGAGTGCTTTGTCCATGCCACACTTAATCTGCCTTCCACTAGTCACTGTTGTGCCCATCATGTAACTTGGCAGGTGGGTTACCCCACTCTCTCCTGTTTGTCACATGACCCAAGGCAACCAACCATTGTCAGGCTGTCTCTAGTCTGAGAGGAGCGAGAGTTGTATCTTTCACTGTGTTTTCAGTTGTTTCTGGCATTGAACAGGGACAAAATGAGTGCAGCCATGTGCCAACGCAGCTGACACCCACTATG